AGGAAAATGGAGGTGCTCTGCTCAAAGAGCAGTCCTCACCTGGCTAGTTAGGGCACTCCTGTGGGTCTGGGAAACAGCAGAACTGGAACTTGATCTCCCACTTCCTGGGAGGTGCTCGTAGCAGCAGCTGGCCACTTCTCCCACTCATACCTCTGGGTTACCTCCCAGAGCGTGGGAGGGTTTTTCAGGCTTGCGAGCCCAGTTTCACAAAGGTGCCCTTATTATTTCAGAGAGGTGGTCAGATCTGTCCCTCTCTTCAGTGGTGGTGGTCCCCAGCCTATGCGTAGTGTTTGTTGTGAAGTCCCTTTGATGTCTTACTTCCCGTGTGCATCTCCTCCACTCCAGAGCAGGCAGAGGGCAACATGCCAGAGCTGCTGTGGCTGCACTGCACTGCAAACCTAACAGGAGGTGAGAGCAGCTGGGTCTCTCCCACCAAAAAGCCCAGCAGGCAGGGCTCCGTGTTGTCAGGAAAGAATAGAATCTGAGGAGTTTCAAGGCCTCAGCAGTCCTATAAGGCTCATTTTCCCCCTGGGCTTTGTTCATCAGATTATGCTCTGCTCATCTGTGAAATGCTCTGAAGTTAGGAAAAATGAGACTTTGCTCCCTTTTCATGTGCTAGCTGTCAAGTTTTTAAACTGGATCGTAACAGAACAGTTCTTCAGTACCTTGTGTAACCGGTAGCCCTCCTGCTGAGGAAAAAGCACGTGGAACTAAGGTGTCAGTAGCCCGAATCTCTCTTTTGAGAAAAAGAGTTGGGTTACTAAACCCGGTAGGAACCTCTCTCCTTAAGATACATGTAATGTCTCGGTGTTGTACACGTGAATGGTATGCCAGAAAGAAACTCGGAAGTGTTGATAATCTGCGTTTGGTTCAGGGTGACTCTGGGAACCTGTTACTTCCCATTCCACAACGACAAAGTGTTTGTCAGGGCTGGGGTTAGCGGGTGCGTCTTCCCCGACGTCCGCAGATGCTCCTGACAGCGTGGGCTTGTCTGAGCTCGGCCTTTTGCCTCTTTCAGGTGTCCCTTCTGCAGACGCAGCTGGCACAGGAGCGAAAATACAAGCAGGACTATATTGAGTGCTGTGCCAAGACCAGCCAGGAGCTGTCAGACCTTCACCAAGAGCTGTCTTACTCCTTAGCAGCTGTGGTCAGGGAGCCCAGAGCTGCTGTTCTGGAAGCAGAGGCTCGGAAGCTGGATCGGTCTCTGAACCGTCATTTCCTGTAGAGGAACAGCTACAGCATCACGGGGCTCCTGCCTTGTGCCCTTCCTGGAAATGTATTATGTTTTGCTGTGGGAAATGGGGGCGCATTTGTTCTGTTTGCATCTGGAAGCATTTCCTAGCGGCAGTGATTTTTAAGATTTAGTTTTAAGGCACTAATATCTCTGGACCATCAGTGTCCTGAGAGACAGCCGTTGCATTCAACTGCCAGATCCCCCAGAAGCGATGACCTGAGGTAACAGGACCAGTGTACAACAAAAGGCCTCAGCAGGAGCCAAGTTGGGGACCTGCTGTACCAGGTGAACTGTGGCAGGGGGCTTGCTTCAAGCATGAGTCCTGAAGTAAGATAATAGTGCAGAGGACAGCGTTCACTGCAGGTTCCCCAGCAGAAGCAGCGGTGGGACAAAACCGGTGCTGGCTTGTGTGGATGGGGTCAGTCGTAGGCCTGGAAAAGCAGGGTGAACCCGAGGAGCAGGTAAAATTTCTTCCTTTTCCAAAGCACTCCATCACAGCATGCCTTGTCAGTCTCCACACAGCCCTCCACATTAGGTTGTTCCTGTCGGTTTCTATACTGTATACAAAGACTTTTTGTCTGGTTTTATTTTTTCAATACACTTATTTCTCCAAAACACTGCACAGGCTCTGAGCAGAAATCTCCTTGCAATGATGTCCTGTTGCTCCTCTGCTTTCTTCAGCAGCTGCTCCAGGTGGGCTTTCTCGGCGCAGAGCTCCTCATTTGTTCTTCTACACAAGTCTAGCTTCTCCTGGTCAGAGATCTTTGCTCTCTCCATCCCGTCCACTTTTCCTGACAGAACTTCATTCTCTTGCTCCAGCTACAATCACAGAGGCACAGAGGAAATAAAATACAGTAAGAGTTACTATGAAGAAGGTTTGGCTTGGACAGGAAAAAGACCAACATTTCCATACTCAGTCAGTCATACTGTCGGAAGGCAAGAAGTCTGAGCAGAAGCAGCAGCTGGAGACGAACACCTGGCAAGACCTTTGGCAACTCTGCTCACCTGCAGCACAAGTTTGTTCAGTTGCGCTTTATCCAGTGCAAGAGCTTCATTGATACCGCTCGTGTTCGCTGTTGCAACACGTAGATCAGCTATTTCAGCACTCAGCTTATTCTGAGCCCCTGTCAACTCTGCTACCGACCGCTCTGCCTGGAGAGACAAAAGAACAGCATGACAACAAAGGCAGGAAAACCCCTGACTTCAAGCAGCAACTCCACATCCCCTGTGTGTCTCTGACATACTCCCAGTTCCGCGCTCCCAATAAGCACGTGGGGACTAACTACCCCAAAGAGCCTGTGTGGTCTGATCACCATTTTCCAAGAAGGAGGACAACATTTTCCCTGTCTTCTACTGCCAGAAACAGCATCTGTGGTGGTCCTGCTATCACAACTCCCTCTCCCACAGCTGCTACCTAGGAATAAGGTGACCACACCTTCTCCAGCGCCATGGCAAGCTCATGCTTCTCTTGCTTCAGCAGATCCCTCTGAAGGTGCGATTCCTCCAGTGTCTCTCTCGCGACTACCAACTCACTCTGTAATAGTGAATGTTTTCCTTCAAGTGCAGCCAAGTCCTTCAGTCTATGAGAAGGGGAAAGACAAACAAGCTTTTAATGTAAAAACATTCTCATTTCCAAAACCAAGAGCACATACTATGTCCCAGATACGACAGTTAGAATGATTTCCAACAGCTTTCTATTTACACCTAAAGAATGCTGGAATTTCCTGACTAGAGCTGCATCACTCTCTGTCATTGATGCAGGTGAAACATTCGTCATTGAGAAAGTGAAACAAGCTTCCAGAAATCACAGAACGTTTCCAAAAAGTTCAGGTACTCTCAACCTCACGGCTTCCTGCCTGATAGTTCTCTCTCTCCTTTTTGATACATTGGATACAAGACTTTCCAAAGTCGTTCTTTGGGTAAGACGGACTTTTTAAGTCCAGATTAATATTCCCACAATTGCTCTTGCCTTCAGCAGTGAAACAATGACAGAGCCTGCAATCTATTGGGGGAGGAGATGTGCGTGAATTTCCAATGCAATAACCATAGGATCACAGGATGAGTCAGGCTGGCAGGGACCCCAGGACGCCTCTAGCCCAATCTTCAGCTCAAAGCAGCTGGGGTCGGCTGTGGGATCAGTCCAGGTTGCTCAAGGCTCTATCCAGTTGGGTCTTCCAAATTTCCAGGGATGGAATCCGCACAACCTCTCTGAGCAACCTGTTCTGCTGCATGATTGCCTTCATGGTTCAATTTTTTGTTCTCCTTAAATCCAGTCCGAACCTCTCTTGTTTCTGCTTATGCCTGGCATCAACTACTCTGGTCGGGTTTGGAACGATCTTTTTAAAGGGTCATAAAGAAAGTACAAGGAGGCAGCTATGCTGTATGTCAGTAGGTAGCCAGACCTGCCCACGTGCTCCCTTCACCCTTCTATGCTACAAATGATGAGCATGCAGAATCCATTCTTTTACAGTGGGCCTCCTAAAGTCCAGCAACGCCCACCCCTGCCCAGAGAAAGCTTTAACGCTCACAGGAGCTCCTGGTCACGACGCGCTCTCTCCATCGTCCGTTGCTGCTCCACCTTCTCCCCCTGCGCTGAATCTTCCTTCAGCTGCAGTTCAGTGTTACTTTGACGCAGACGCGAGGCTTCTTGCTCCGTTACTTCAAGCTGTTGCTGTAGCTCTTCCCTGGTTTTCTCGAGGTTTGCACAGTCACTGCAGAGACAAGGCTCAGTTAGAAGAATGAAGAGGCCTGAAGAGTCACGGACCCCATTTTCGTCATTCCAGGATGGAGTTGTGGGGAGCACGGCAAAGAAGAACTTGCTCAAGAGAAAGGAAAGCAGGCTTTTGCCTTCATTCAGTGAGAAGCAGCGGCTAGGAAAGAACGGAATTCAGAGATGCAGCAGGTTGAGAGGGAGGCGTCCTGTATTCCAACACCGCTCTGTATCGCCAAGACAGCCTTAGGATTCACAATAGAGCATGAAAAGCAGCGACAGGAGGATGCTGAAGTGCCCAGCAGAGGCATACACGTGGTAGGGCAGGCGAGTTCTTTGCCCATAACACCGCGGAGCTCCCAGAACTGGAAGCAGATTGCCTCTAGAACGCAGGAGAAGGAGGAAACGCTCACCTTCTGAGTGCTTCTACCAGAGACTGGAGGTGCTGCCGGTGGCTGCTGGACGTCTTGCATTCCTCCTCCAGTTGCTCAAGCCTTTGCTGCAGCTTCCTGCACTGCTCTTCCTGCTGTCTGTGCTGGTGCTGCAGGAAATTGATAGAGTCCTGCCTGGCAGAAAGCTCTTCTTTTAGGGCCTGCAAGGAATGGGCAGGGAAGGAGCACAAACAAGCAATAAGAAGCAGGGAAGATGGCTCCAGATAGCTGGGAGAAGAAGCAAGCAGAGAGACAGCTCACCTGAAGGCAAAAGCTGTGATGAGGGGGTGGAGATCAAGGAGAGAAAAGCAGTAGACACAGAGCTGGTGAGACCGGCAAGGCAATACGGTACCAAGAGTGGGAAGGCTAGAAAGAAACTGGCTAAGGAAACGGAAAGGTTTCAAGCTAAGCGAGGCATTAGCAGCTGAGCTTGTGGCCAGTGGTGAAGACAAGCAGAAATTCTCACCTGCCTTGCTCCTCGCCTCCTTGCCAGTGCTTCCTGAACCAATACAAAGGCATGCTCTGCATCAACGGAGCTCAGACAAGGGAGGACGTTGCTGGACTCTGCATGCTGGGAACTGTCAGTGCAGATAATGCTGACTGTGCTGTCACTGTCATCTAACACCACCTGAAAGCCCACATCAAGCTGTTACTCTTGGTTTTCTTTATCTACTTCTCCTTTTCCCCCCACTTCACCCTAGAGTCGTCAAAAACTCAATTCTCTCATTTCTTCAGTCAACAAAGAAGTTTTGTCCCCGTGGCCACAAGTACTCCAGGGATTTCTGAATACAGCTACTATAGACACGAAGAAACAAGTGTGAAGTGGCTGGAGGCTGCCTGAACGCTCAGTTTCTTGAAGCTCTCAGGAATGATTTTGGTCTCCGTCAGCTTCTCAGAGCCACATACACAAGCACCACATCAACACGGGAAATAGCAATGAAAGGAAACAGTAACGCTGCCCAGAGAAGAAGGAAGCTGATGAATACTGGAAAACAGCAGTGAAAAAGCTAACGTTTATAATTACTCTGAGCAGTAGCACAAGAGGATAAAAATGACTACGTAAGGGGAAAGAACTGACTTTGTGAGAGGCTGTGTAAAAGATCTGATGACTAAGCCCCCCTCCGTAGAGTGAAGTGTAGGACTAAGTTAGTGTTACCCCTAAACACTTAGACCAGTTGCGATTCTGGGGTCAGCGAATGTAGAGTTGAGAATGTAGAGCAGAGCTGGCAAGTGCATCGATTGAGTCAGTGACCTTTTATAAAAACCTGAAGAACAACAGCGTCATTGCTCAAGGAGGGTGCGGGAAGCCTCCAAGCAACACTGGAATACAAATGTCACGTAGCCAACTCAGAAAGCACAATCCAAGAGAGACCTTAGCGGGACGCTGAAGGCAAAGGCACTGAAAGTTCTAGCGACTCAGCTGCAGTGTCACAGGACAGCCAACTCGGAAGTTATAACAGGTTTTATGTCAGAAAAGTGGTATAAAAATTAGACAGCCAGTAGCAGTTAACATAGACAGTAATCAACGTATCTATCTGTTCCCTGGGTTAGTCTGTTGCCTTCCTCAAGTACTTCTAAATCCAATTTACAGGGATGTGGTCCCAACTCTGTACTCACCTCAGTTATGTCTTTTATCAGCTTCTGGAGGGAAAGATTCTCTTCTTTGGCTCTTTTAGTCAAGGAAGCTTCATATTCTTTCTCTAAACAACTTGCTTCCTGAGAACAGAATAAGGAAAGGGTGGGCAGGGAAGAGCTGCTCCCCTCTGTAGCATTCCCATTCCCATCCTCAGTAGCATTGTCACGCCGATAAGCCTCAGCCCTGGTGATTCCAGTGTATTCCTTCCCAAATCTATTCAATTTCTTCTTTGCTAAAACTAAGAAGAGAAAGACCCACAGCTCGTTTTTACAGGCTGCTATGAAGCCGTCGATTCCAAGGAACCTTGATCCCTAGAGACTTAAAGTCACAGGCAGAATAGCATCGGTGCAACCCCCCTGAGGAAGACACCTGAATTGTCTGCAGCTCCCCTGCCACTGCCTGCACCTGGACTGACTCCACATGTGCCAAACAAACACACAAGGAATATTTTGGCAGTGCGCCCGATGTTCCCATACGGTTAGCATCTTTACCGCTCCTTCTCTTGAGGAAGCCACCCCTCTTTGTGCTAAGGCTGGAGAGCAAACACTGGGCTATCTCCCAGGTAAAGGTAAAACATACTAGAATCTCGACAGTGTCGGTAAGCGTTTTCACGGTCTTCTCCTTCTCCTCGTTCTGCTTCCGAGACTGTACAAGCAAGGCCGAGAGCTCCATCACCCTGAGAAGAGAAGGTCCACGTGCCATTCCAAAAGCATTGCACACCATCACCTGTTAAAGAGCTACGCGGCTCCCAGAAGCGTAGCAGAGAAAGTTCAACCCAGAAAATACAGCAAAGGCAGCGTTCGTCTCTACAGGTTAATAAGCTTGATGCTGCAAAATGGCACTTCTTGCCCCCAAGGCCTTCCGCACTCAGTCTTGCAAGGAATTGTCAGTACAGAGGTGCTACATTGCTTACGACGGCCCTGGGCAAATTCCTCCCAACTCCCTTTAGCACAGTTCTGGATAGCAAAAGGGCTGTACAAGAGACAGAGCTCCCTTTATACTGGTCTTAATTTCTCACCGAGAATCAGCTAACAGCAAAAACATTGTAATATGCAATCTCTTTTCCAGTCTTGTCTCACTCAGTCAGTCAGACGGTTTTTTCTACCCTTTCTGTTGAAGGCAATGGTTTGACTGGGGACAGAAACAGGGCTGTGCAGAATGGGTGTGTTTTAAATGTGAACACAGCCCCTCTAAGAATCCAGGAAGCAGCCACAAAAGACAATGTTGTTAATAGCAAAGTTTAAAACACCTTTACCTGTCCTGAAGCTCCTTCTTCTCCAGGTCCCCCTTGACTTGTAAGCACATCACTTCCTGAGCCTTCTGGCTTATTTCCTGTTCCGCTTGCTGCTGTGCCTGATCCTTCAGGACAGGTCTGCCCAGAGCGATGGACTCCCAGAGGTGCATGCCAGAGTTTAGACGGGAGCAGTTGACAAGTATAGCTCCAGAAAGCCTCATTTGCTCTGCCTTCAGCTCTGACAAATCTCTGAAGAAGAATAAAGAGAGCGCTAATCTTCACACCACCACCTTTATCAGCTGACTCACTTCTGAAGCACGTAATTGCGCAACAGTAAAAGCTGGCAGGAAAGATGACATCTTCGTTGGGGATGAGTCATTCATCTGACACTTTGGGATCAGGACTCACCTTGACAGTTGAGCAATGAGTCTACTGGGTAGCTGAGGAATGAGTCTGTTTTCTCCTCAGAGATAAGAAGACATGTATGGCACAGCCAGAAGGCTTCAAGGTCCTCTAATTACTCTTACTAACTGTTGCTCCTGCTCTCTCTGATCAACATACTCTAATTATCATTAACAGATGTAAGGGATTTTACCAAGGTCCCCGGCTTTTATACCTAAGGGATCAGCCCTAAGCGGCCCATTATTATCAGCACTTGGACTGCTAAGAGGCTCGTGACAGTAGCTACATAATAAACGTTTCAGGAAGGTGGTGTAAGAATAAGCCTAGAATGTTGTAACAAAAAAGCACAAACAATACAAGAATCAAATAGTAGGTCAGGCACACTCTCACATTAGGGAAAGCTTATAATCAAATAAGATAAACGGCTGACAGCAACCCAGAGTCTGAAATTGCAAGCTGACACCAGAAGAAGGTACTATTAAGGCTACACTATTTTTGTTTGTGTAGAAGGCAACTGTGAGAAAGGAACCTCAGAGAGCCCAAGAACAAGAAAACAATCACAAAAAGAGGTATCAAACGAAGCAAAACAAATTGGATAAATGCAGTAACAGGGTAGAGGAGCTGTTCTTTCTTTCAACAAAGTTGGTACAGGAATAAGCGGATACAAACTGACCAGAATAAATGTAAGCTGGAAATGAGAAGAAAAATAATATGTATATTCATGAGTGATCTTCCCATCAGGAGCAGTGGGAAAAGAAACTCCGTGAGACTTAAGGCAGATTTTAATCGTTCTTTTAAATGGACTGCTCTACACGCTGCACGCATAGCTTTGGTGAGTCGCTTCCAATGTGTCCATATATGCCCGTGTCTATGTCAATATGCCCAAACATCACCATAGTCCAGTTCATCTGTTCAGGGCCCCTGCACTGATTATAGCCCAAGCCCCACAGTTTTATCTGAAAACCAGCATCAAACAAAATGATTCTGAAAATAGCCTAAAGCATGCTTAACGGCATTGCTTCAGACTGTCAAAGGAGAAATCGTACCGTTAGCCGCAACTAACGTAGCATCGAGGCTCAAAAAGCGGGTGTGAAGGGAAGCTACACTGTTTTCTGCAAGAGATCTAGCCTTAACTTCTACTCACCGGTCAGTGGCAGTCTTCATTTCCAGGAAATGACGGCGGAAGGTTACCACCTGACGCCACAGGCTGAGTAGACGGTTATGTTCACCCCTCAAGCAGTTGTCATAAAGCTAAACATGCAAAGACAGAAAGAAATGCCAGCTGAGCCTTCACTGTCACTGTACAAGTCTTTCAGATAGGAGAGAGTACAGCCACCGTCACCAGGTCTCCTTTAGAGACTATTGCAACAGGGGCATCAAGGGCTGAAGAGGCACCACAGAAGCATCCTCAGTAGACCTGCCACCTGACTTCGAAGAAGGGAACATCCACACTTCTCCTGCAGGAGTGGATGTCAGCAGAGCAAATTGATCGTGATTCATCACCTCGCCTTGCAGAGGTGTCTAACAGTCTTGGTGGAGGAAGACAAAAACAAGCCCCTCCAAGACCAGTGTCAGATTTGCTTACAGCAGGCCATTGGTAAGGGAGGCCTGTCTTGTTCTTCGGTTGGCTACTCTGAATCTGAAAACACACAGACCTCTCCGGTCTCCACTGCTCTAGACGGAGATCTAAGAACTATTAAAAAGATGAGCGGTCCTGTGTGACTGCCCTGCAGTGCCCAGCAACAGCAAGCGTTTGCCTTTAAGACCGAGCAGTGTGGTCACAGCAGGTGGGCATCTTCCATCACCACAATCTGCCGACACTCCTCCATCTCACACCCCTGTCTTCTGCCCATCAACACCAATACATCCTCAACAGAGCCACAACTTCACACAGCAAGTTCTCTGTGCCAGAAATAAAACGCATTCTCACTCCACCCTGGCATCACATCTGACGTTCCTGTAGCCTATCCTTACCTCACGTTCGTTGCGCCATTCACTCTCCTTCAATTCCAGCTCCTGACGGGCCCTCATCCAATCCGCCGTCAGCTTTCCAACATCTGCTTTAAGGGCTGAATTAACCTCATTCGCTCTATCGAGGTGCTCCCGCAGGAGAGCGTTCACTTCTGCCAGATTCTCACACCTTGGAAAGGGAGAAACAGCAATGAGGTCACTGAACAACTGCTATCCACAAGCAGCATCCCCGTGATTTCCCAGCTCCCTCAACACTGACTTTGTTGTCAAACTGAGAGGCAGTAGAAGTGCTTTCTAGGATTAACTAAGATCTCTCTGTCATGGCAAACTCATTTGCTTCTCTTTGCTTTAAGCCTTCAACTTCCACCTACAGTTTTGGTTTCCCCTTCCTCGTCAACGTTGATGATGCCCACAGTTAACGTCTTGCCTCCCCTTCCTGCTGCTGGTCACCGGATGCGTCACCTTTCTCTAGCATTGTCCTGAGTGGCTCACCTACTGAACCGTGGAATAATTTAGGCTGGAAAGGTCACCCGGAATAACCCCCCCGCTCAAAACAGAGCCATTCAGCACACAACACTATTACTGCACCACAGAAAACAGACTGTGGACCTCTCTCCTTTCACAGCAGCTTGGCCAGCCGCTTCCCTCGGGGAGATTAGGTAGCACTGACGGGTTTTCCCTCACTTCCATGAGCATCCAGGATACCAAGTACGAGGGAACGCTTCTTCCTTGTACCTTTGCTGCTCCTCTTCCACCTGAAGCAGTGCTTTCTCCAGGCTGTGGTCTTCTGTGGCTTCCCACCTGCCTGGAAGGGATCCCTTAAGAAGAAAGGAAATGTTTAGTCAAATTCTTGTGTTCCCTTCACTACTGCTAGCATCCATCGCGTTCCCCTCCATTTGTTGGGTATCTCTGGAGCTCGTGGCTTCTTCCAGGCACAACAGTGTCGTGACTAGGGAGAGGAAGGGAGGGGAAGGGTGTTACTCAATGTGAGTAGCTCTCCTCAGTCTCCCACTGTTGCACTCTCACACCTAGGTATCCCAGGCTCGTGACCGCAAGCGCTCACTTCGACTTGAAGCCTGGGAATGCTCTCCTACCCTTCGCTTCCTAGGTTTACTTTAGCCGTGAAGCAGAAAGAAAAGCACAGAGCCAGCTCCGTATGTTGAACGCCACCATTCTTGCCTTCCAAAATGCTATGTTTCAACCGATTCTTTTTCGGAGACAGCCATATAATGTAACAGCCAGTACGGCCTGAGACCTAGGACAAAATGTTACTCCAGCAATAAAGCACTCTCTCACAAAACTGAAATCCTTCTTGATAGCGTTGGCTGGACTGGCATTTCTGGGACCTCTGGCTGCTCTAAGAATGGCAACCGGACAAAACACGGACGGGCAAACTTACAGCGCTTCTTTAAAGGTGGTATGTACGACTGAGTATAGGACTGTGAGCTAAAAGGTTGTTGGTTATTGTATTTGCTTTGTGACTATATATAGGTGTCTTTGCAGTGTCGTATCACCTTTCCCATACAGATATGCTACCCTCAGGTAGCAAAATCTTGTTTTCCTCTGTCATTGCTTTGGGCAGCTTTTTTTTGTCTGCGTTAACGAATGCCACACACACTATCTTTAGGTAGCAACCCGCACACACTCACCCCTCCTGCTTCCACTTGCTGCTCCAACTCTCGACACCAAGTCCGGTACTGCAGCACCTAGATGGATAGACAGAATGAAGATGAGCCAATGCAGCTTGTAACAGACTCGGCTCCTCCTGCATTAGCTTTTCTCTAAGTCTCTACAGCCCAAGCACAGTCCATTTCACAGTGCTGCTGATACAGTCCACAAGAAGTCCTTACGATATAGGGAAGCTTCACTCTCCCTACTATTAAAGAAAGTGAGACACCGTTTCTTTCACACATAGTACTCCTACCTGCTCATCCTAAGACAGCAATGGCAAGCAGAATGATGAGACAGACTTAGACAGCCACGCCTGGCCTAGGGCCACCACGCAGCGCCCACGTGAGTATTTCCAACGGGCTAAAAGTCCAGTGGGTCCTTGCCGTTAGAGAAATGACTTTTCAAAATTGCTTTTCAATATTTAGCAGGTGAAGTTAGTCCTGACCACAGTCCCGCTCAGCCACTGCTCAGAGCTGCCTGCCTCTGCCCGGGGCCGCCCAAAACCACCCCCGCCGGCTCGAGCCCTACCTCTGGGACAGCCCCCTGCTAACGGGGCCAAACAAAGGCGTTTGCAAGCCAGGCGTCTTTATTCAAGTGCGAAGAAGACCCAGCGAGAGGCTCGGGGGGGGTGACAGC